CAACTTGGCTGTTCCCCTTCCCCAATTCCCCAATAAAATCTTTTTTTGTTTTTAAAAAGAGCTGTTTAGGGGGAACAGTGACTTAGTGACAGCTTTGTTCTCAGCAGGAAGGGGTGAATACAGCCCCCAGCCTGAATTAATTAAGCAACTGAAGAGTTCAGTGCAAACTCTTTTCTATTTAACAAAAATCAAATAACATATTTCCCTTGGGGAGGAGACAAAGGTCAAAGGCATGAATCAAATTTTTAAAAAGAGAGAGAGAGAGGGAAGAAAGCAACCACTGCCCTGGAGTAGATAGCATCTTCCACCTTCTCCTCGGAGCCAGGTGCCAGCATCTGCTACTCACAGATGTTATTTATGCACGGCGATTATCTCAATTATATATCTTGGTTGTTGGAATTGCTTCTGTCTCCAGATTAGTTTGTTTCTAGTGGAATCATTCCATGGGAATTAATTAGTAATTGGCGCCTAAAGAACAGGTGTCATTAGATAACCCCACACATTCCCGCATCTACCTGTTTCACCAAGTCTCGTAAAACCCTGTGCCTAGAAACCAAAGTCTTCCAACAGCCGACACCAGTGTGTGGGTCCAGGGAGCCAGGGGGAAGCTCTTCATGTTAAAATCATTGTCTTACAGTTTTCAACTTGGAGAATTCTTTCAAATCCACGGTCTAGCGTTCTTTCTATCCACCCAATAAGCTGGGGATATCAAGCCCCCTTTTTAGGTGAGAAAAAGGAGGCTCTGAAAGGCAGAGTTGACTTGCCCCAAACCATCCACCTTATTAGGGAGCAGAGGCAGGGTTTGAACCCACAGAGGTGTGTGTCTTCTACCTGGCTCCACGAGTCTTCTGTGTTTTATCATTGGGGTTGTAAACCTCAGGTGTTAACTGAGACAGGCCAAGGCTCCCACTGGAGGGAGACTGGGCAGAAAGAGCCGAGTACTATATAGTTTTCTCAGGATTCTAGATGGGGGTGGTGGGTGGGGAGGGGCAACAGCATCCTGTCCATATGGGTGGAATGCAGGGGCTCGGGAAGATGCTCTGTCTCCGGGGCCCTCCCATGCCTCCGCGTGAGCCTGGCATGCTGCCCAGCTGGACCTGGAACCCTGCCATTTCTGACAAGCACGCTGACCATGCCCTTCTCTGCTCAGCAGCCCACTATGGCTCCCTATCACCCACGGGCTAAAGCCCAAACTCCTTAACCAGGCCCACTAGACCACTCAGGAGCTGGCTTCAGCCTCAATGACCGACATAAGTACCCTCTCCGCTCTTATCCCGGACACGCCATGCAACATACAATATGCTCCCTGTGTCCACATGCCTCCGGCCCTTCATCCTCTCTGTTGCTTCCTCATAGAATGGCATCTTATCTAACCAGCAATTCATTTCCATCTTTAAAGAGACAGCTGGAACCACCAACTTCTCTCCCGCAGCTAAAGTAAGGGCATCCTCTTTAGCTGAACCCCTGCACTTTGCCAATAAAGAGCTCATCACCCTGCTTGGCGATAGCAGGCTCCGAGGTCTGCCTCTCGGGAGCAGGGACCTTGCTGTCTCCTCCTATCCCTGTAGTCTGGCCTCGAATCCATTCCAAAGTAGAGACCAGATCAATATTTGCTGAATGCCTGAAATTCTCTAATAGGTGCATTCAAGCACATGCCCTCATCTGTGCCCCGACAGAGTAAACCTTTCTCTAGGATATCTGGCACTGCAGTTGGTAAGCTGTAAAGGGCTGCAGCATGTGGCCAAATCTCTGAAGCCCTTGCCGGCTTGACCTCGTTGCCCCGACAAGCACTTGGGACAGCGAGTGACGATAATGCTCTGCTTGAGGAAAACGGCTCAGGGAGGTCACACCACTTGTTGAAGGTCACCACATTAGCAAGTGCCAGGTCTAGTTCTCTGGACTCAAAATTTAATTAATTTTAAAATCAGCTGAACTAAGATCTGTCACACTAATAAAACCTCACCGCAAGTTTGCTCATCTGAACTTGAAACAAGAGGGTTTTCAGTGATAAATGAGGCCTGTGATTCCCATATCTGATCCTACGACCAGCCTCAAATCCCCTGATGTGATTATTTACAAATGTAGATCCTGGGTCCCAACTCAATTTAACAACAACAAAAGACTATCTGAGGATGGGATCCAAAAATCTGTGATTTTTGAATGGTGCATACGTTATCTGATGTGCAGTCAAGTTTGGGGACCCCAAGCCATGAAGGAAAAGCCTGATACATAGTAGGTGCTTGACAAATGTTAACAAGACCCATAATAGGCAAACCAAGTGGCACACGTCCAAAACCATTGGCATTCAAGCTTTCAGACACATATTGCTATGTGCCCTTGGGTAAATTCCTCAACCTCTCAGAGCCTGTTTCCTTATTAGTAAAATGGGTCAGAAATAGAAATAGAAACCCACCTGCTAGGGTTGTGGTGAGGATTATTTATAATGAACTTATTGCTGCCCCCAGATCATCTGCAGGTCCCATCAACTTCAAGCCGATCCCAAGTTTGTCCCTCTGGCTATCTCCATGACTACTTAGCTCGGGAGGCCATTTCCTCCAGCCTAGAAGGGTACACGATAGCCTCCTCATGGCAGCCACTCATCCCCTTTAATCCACTCTCCACACAGAAGAGTGACCCTCTAAAATGTGAATTGGATTACGTCATGCTCGGCTCAAAACCTTCCGATGGCTTCTCACTACCTTTGGAATAAAATCGAAACCTTCCAGACCCTGCATGCTTCTGCTTCTTCCAGGGTAATTTAGCTGACCATCAATGTAAGTTTCACAAGGGAGGGTATCACATCTGTTTCACTAACCATTATACACCTGTATCTATCTCATCATCTGACACACACACACAGTAGGCGCCACATAACGACTGAATGAATGAATGAATGAATGAGTGAATGAAATTGTTCAGCACCATACCCAGCACTTAAGATTCAGCCATCAGCAAAGTTAACTCCCTCTCCCTTCCCCCTCCTGTCTGCTCTCCCTGCCTCTGTCCCTGGAGCCTTCAGGTAAAGGACAAATACCATACGTCGGGAGAGGAGATGCAGCGATGCCCAATGTCATCGCTGCTTTATTTGATTAGCTCTGACTCCGGCATCCGGGACACGTGTGCTGGGAGCCAAAGCAACTGTACTCTGACCTCTGGTCCACGCGATCTCATCCTTATAACAATTTCCATGACAACAGCAACAGAAAGCCAAGGCTGTGGATTCCCTTTGATAGGAGCCGGATGCAGAGACAGGGGAAGAAGGACTTTCAGAAGAATGAAGCCCTTTGATTCAGCTAAGGCGCCTTCATTAAATACCACTATTTTCCAGGAACACACATTTTAACCCAGCAGAGGGAGATTTCTTATGAATACTAAGAAAAGGAAAAAAGCAAAAGAAACAAAACCACCATGGTTCCTTTTTAAGAGCATTCACCTGTGGGAAGGGAGCAGGCTTGGATGCTGTGGCTTAGAGACTATTTTGGTGGGAGACAGGCAGAGCACACGGCCCAGCTAAGGGGGCGGCACGAATTCCGAATGTCTGGCCCCTGGCCGAGAGCATGGACGTCTCTGCCCACATGAGGCACATCAAGAGGCTCAGGGTCTACCACCCACCTGGTTGGTCAAACAGACAGGAAAAATAGAGTGAGCAACTGCTCTCCCTGGTTTACCCAGGCCTGAGGGCTTGCTCGAGACATGGAACTAAAACCAGGACAGTCCAGGACAAGCCACGATGGGTGGCCACCCTAGGAGAGGATGACCTGATGAAGGAAACGGCTAAGAATCGTAGAATCGTCAAGAGGAAGGGCCCTTGGGGCCGGCCGAGGGGCTCAGCTGGTGAAGAGCTTGCTCGAGCGCGAGCTCTGAGCAACAGGGTCGCCGGTTCGATTCCCACATGGGCCAGTAGCTGCGCCCGAGCTGAGCTGCGGCTGAGCTGCCAACAGGTGGCAGGATGGCTCTGCTGGTGAGAGCACATGCTCCTAACAACAAGGTTGCCTGTTCTAGATGGTGGGCTATGCCCGCCCGCAACTAAAGACTGAACTCGGCACCTTGAGCTGAGCTGCCGCCCAGGTGGCTCAGGGCATAGAGCGTGCACTCTTAACAACAAGGCTGCTGGTTCGACTCCCGCATGGGATGGTGGCTACGCCCACCCGCAATTAATTGAACACAGCACCTTGAGCTGAGCAGCATGACTGGACTTGGAGCTGAGCTTGCTGCGCCCTCCACAACTAAGATTGAAGGACAACAACTTGGCTGTTCCCCTTCCCCAATTCCCCAATAAAAATCTTAAAAATAAAAATATAAAAAAGAAAAGAGGAAGGGCCCTTGGGTTTGTTTGTTTGTTTGTTTGTTTGTTTTTTCTTTGGTGTCTTCTGTTTTAACAGCACTGCACGTCTGGTGTGTTCTTACCCCAAACCCAGAAACCTGGTCTAGTCATGAGAAAAACATCAGACACCCCCAGCTGGGAGACCTTGTACAGGCGACCTGGCTAGGAACCCTCAGAACTGTCAAGGTCATGAAAACCAAGGTAAGACTAAGAAACTGTTCCAGACCAGAGGAGACTGGGCAGGCAGAACAACTAAATGCTGTGTAGCGCCCTGGGTTGGATCCTGCAAAGGAAAATGACATTAATGGACAAACTGGTGAAATCTAAATCAAGTCTGGAATTTAATTTTTTTTAAAAAGGGGGTTTCTACTTTAGCTAATAATCTCGGAAACCCTTCATTGAACAGATGGGAAAGTGGCACCAGGGAAGGGAGGCAGACGAGCTCTGGGTCTGGTCTCTGGAGCCTGGAACTAGGCTCTGCTGCCTCCCTCTGCCGTCCCGGGGACCTGCTGACAGTCCTGAGCTTCTGCAGAAGGAAGAGAGAAGAGCACTGGGTTTGGGGTCAGGGAACCGGCTCTGCTTTTAGCTGGCCATGTGACCTCAAGCAAACCCCTTACCCTCTCTGTTCCCTGGTTTTCTCAGTTGTCAAAAGAGGTGGGTGAGACATTTGAATTCAACTGGAAGGCATTTTGATTCAGTATTTATTATGCAAAATAGACTGGATGGGCATCATTAGACACGAGTAAAACATAGCCCTGCCCTCAAAGAAGTGTATACTTTTGTTCAGGAGTCAGTCCAAAAAGTACAGACTACCATCTGAGTTTCTGAGGACATTCTGTGAAGATACAAAAGCCCTGGTCATATGGCATGCCTGAAGCTGCATGATAGGACAGAGGAGGAGGAAGGGACAACCATGCTCCAAGGTGAGGTGGTCAAGGGAGCAGGAAATGCTTCCCTCTCCCCACACCTGGATTCAGCACCCATGGTTTATCTGAGGGAGGTGTGTAACTCAGGGGTAACACCAAATGCATGGAAACAACACCCCCAGGAGGGCTCTGAGCCTCCCAAACCCTGAGTCCCTGCTACAGCATTCCGCTCTGGAACCTCTCTCCCTAAGTCTCCCACTAGCCTATGGGATCTGACTCACTGACGCCGCTCAACACCTGCCACGCTGCGCCTCACTGTCTGCACCTAGCACAGCCCACACCAGCACATCTCCTGAGGCCAGGTCCTTGGCTCTGGCCTGGCCTGGCCTCCCCTCCCAACTGCCCTCTGACCTGCTGTTCTAGTCCTCCGCTGAGGCAGCCAGGGATGGTGAGGCCCGGCTCTGCCCCTTTCTAGCTGTGTGACTTTGGTGGGGGGGGCGGTCACCTCACTTGTGAAATGGAGGTGAGAATCCTCATCTCCCTCAGCTCTCCTGGGAACTCAGTGCAACATCCTGTATGGGGGGAGGCCCCAGAAGGTGATCAGCATCATATCATGATCAATACCAGTAGCATTCCCAGCAGCTATCATTTGTTATTGTTGTTGTTAGAAACAGGCTTTGCATTATTAGCACTGTTACTACTAGTTTCAAACCCAGCCCTCATGGTCAATGCACGCACACAGGCACGCACGAACCAAGCACGCACTGCGCTCAGCCATTCTGCCCCAGGACCCTGAACTGTCCAAGCCGTCAGGATACATTCTGCCTCAGCCCTGAACAAGGGAACAGACTCCTTAGTTATTTCTAAACTTGTCCCCCATCATCTACCGCCTCCATCTACCACCAGCCCTGGCGACGTTCCCCATCTCAGGTCGACCCCGCAGCCACGCACATACCTGGGAGGGGGAGCCATTCTCCCCCCGCTGGCTGCAGCACCCTCCCCAGCCCGATTCTGAGGGAACTCCGAGACACCTACCTGGCTGTGCACTTTCTCCAGCTCCTCCTGGCTGACCGATGCTTTGCCATCCTCCATGGTCCCCAGAAGGAGCTGCACATCTGACAGTAGTGCATGAGTCCTTCTGAGGTCCCTCCGAAGACGCTTCTCCACATCAAAGTCCCGATGACCAATCTGGAAGCCAAAGAAGGCTCTCGTGAGCTAAGATGGCAAAGCAGTGGCCAGGGTCCGAGTTCTCTTGGGACCAGGCTCCTTGGGTTCAAATCCCGCTTCTGCCACTCACTGTGTGACCTTGGGCAAGACCCTTCTCCTCCCTGAGCCTCAGTTTCCTCATCTGCAAAATGGGAATGGCATCAACACACACAGGGCTGCTGTGAAAATTAACTACACGCTTAGCCTAATGCCTCACTCATTGTAAATATGAGCTGCTGTCATTACTGTTGTCACAGCCGGTCAGGATCCAAAGTCACTGTCTCATCTTTTGTACCAAAGTCATCAGTATGGCCTCTCCTCACCTTGCAAGAGCTGACATGTCAGGTGAGGCCCTCTGCTTATAGAAGTCAGGACAGAAGTTAGCCTAGAGGGACAGTGTGTGGATAGGGCAGGAAGGGGACATCTAGGGGGTTATTAACGGTATTAATCTGGGTTCTGGTTTTATGAATTTATGAAAATTTGTTGAGCTGCATAGATGGGATATGGTGTGCTTCTCTGCATGTATATTACACATCAGTAAATAGTATTAAAAATAGCTGTAATGCTTTTGAAAGTCTAAATCCAGCTTTTCTGTCCCCTGAGATGGTCCCCTTTGCCAGTTTAAGGACAGCCTGATGAGATCATTTTCTACAAAGGGACCTTACCTAGAGGTGAGCACATTACTTCCCCCAGAATTCTGAATTTGCAGGCTCTGCGCCCCAAGCAAAGAGTTGTCAAGTGGCTCCTGAAGAAACTACATCCTAAACTTGGCACCAGGGGGTGACGACTGCCAGCAGCCAACCATACAGATTGAGAAAAACCGGGGAGGCTCAACATGAAACCCCAACAGCATGCTGTCTCCCGCTAGAAATAGAGTGCTGACTTAAAGAACACTGAATTAGCATCTTTGAAATAAACCAACAGCCCCCTCCTCCTCAGGGGAGCAGAGGGGGAAAAAATGGCACTATTGATCAGATGAGGAGTTTGAAAGGAAATGGGCACAGGTGCCTCACCCCTGGGACTCAGTCTCTCCACACCTGGATATCTGTCTCTATACCAAGTGCAGCCATTTCCTGGGATGCTCAGAATGCCCTGAGATATTCTAGAAAGAGTGTGAGATTTAAAATGAGATCACTCAGGCTTTTAAACCCTAGCTTGCCACTTACCGGCGCTGGGAACTGTGGCTGAGTCATGTCACCTCTCTGAACCTGAGTTTCCTTGTCTATAAAAGGTTACTTACTTCCTTACAAACACACACACACACACACACACACACACACACACACACACACACACACTCCTATCCTCCATGTTGAGATAAGACAAAAATCAGATGTGATAATGCATTAGAAAAGAAGTCACGTTGAGCTCTGCCAAGTGCTATACAAACATAAAGGATTATGTGTATTGTCTGATGATCTAGAAGATACTCCTTTAGGTTTTGCATAATTATTTCTCTACCTCCAGTTTGGAATCCTTTGAAAAATTAGTTGGTTCATAGAATATAGCCTCTTTGTTCTGAGATGTATTGCTTTGTTAAGTTATAAATGTTGGATATGGATATATATATGTATATATATATATATACATATATATATGTGGCAAAAATTTGTCGAACTGTGTGTCAAAATTGTCAGCTGACTTGAGTAGCATAGCAGACACAGTAAACATCGATAGAGAAACAGGAAAATCTTAACTGAAAATCTTGGCATGAGAAAGGTGTGTGCAAAAAAATGGGCCCGAAGGAGCTCTTGCATCACAACTATGCACCAGCTCACACCGCACTGTCTGTGAGGGAGTTTTTAGCCAGTAAACAATTAACTGTATTGGAACACCCTCCCTATTCACCTGATCTGGCCCTCAATGACTTCTTTCTTTACTCCAAGATAAAGGAAATAATGAAAGGAAGACATTTTGATGACATTCAGGACATCAAGGGTAATATGATGACAGCTCTGATGGCCATTCCAGAAAAGGAGCTCTAAAATTGCTTTGAAGGGTGAACTAGGCTCTGGGGTCGGTGAATAGCTTCCCAAGGGGAGTACTTCGAAGGTGACTATAGTGATATTCAGCAATGAGGTATGTAGCACTTTTTCTAGGATGAGTTCGCGAACTTAATTGTCAAACCTCATATATTTATATACAGAGGGTGCCCAAAAAATGCATACATATTTTAAGAAAGGAAAAAACTATTAAAATTGTAATACTCAACATATTCCAATAACAAAAGATGAATACAAGTCACGTTTGACTTCTGCAATTACAAGAGGTGCTCAAAGTGGTTCCCATCAGTGTCCAGACACTTCTGATTATGGCGAACTACTGCTTGAGCAATGTGGATCAAAGTGTCCACTTGTGTACACTTCTTTGGCAACCCCAGTATATATATGTTTTGTTTTGTTTTTCATAGTCTCTCCTGCTGAACTGAGCTGAGGACTAAGCATTGTGCCAGGCCCTTTGTCACGTCATTGCATTTAAATCCTGTGACAATTTCTTAAAAATAGACCTTATTATTATTATTATTGCCTTGATAACAGTGGTAATAGCTTACACTTATAGAGAGCGAAAGGTCAGACACTCATCTGCACCCTTTATGGATATTAACACATTCAGTCTTTGCGATGAATCTATGAGGTGTGTTGTATTATGATTCGCATTTTACAGATGATGAAACTGAAGCTATGGAGGGAAAGCAGTTTGCCCAAGAGCACACAGCTGGCAATTAAGTGACAGTGAGGCTATGAACCCAGCTTTCTGACTGCAAAGAGGTAATGTTAGTAAAATATACAATGAGAGCAGTATGTTTTGTTCTTTAATTTTTAAAAAGGTATTATGAGGCACAGAGGAGCATCATCCAGCTCATGCTGGGATGGCACTGGGTAGAGTCTTAGGTAAGGAGGACCTAGCTAGGGGAGGTGATGGAGGACACTACAGGTAGAAGGTCCTGCAGGGGCAAAGAGAGGATTGAGAAGCTGTCTGATATATGTGATTCTGGGTGATTAGCTGAGGGTGGTGGGGCAGGTCACGGAGTAAGAGAAGCTACCTGGGGCCAGCATATGTCTTGTGAGCTGTGTGGGGCTCTTACGGACTGTCACGGAGAAACGGAGGCACAGCTGACAAAACTGATTTGGAGATGGTGAGGAATCTGCCCAAGGTGACGTGTGACTCTGCAGGCATTTGAACCCAGACAGCTCAGCGTTAGAATACACGTTTCTAACCGCTGCACCATAGTGCCTAGTGGATCCTGAATCCCCATTGACTCACTCAAGGCCAGGTGCTTTGCCATGATTGCATTCAAGCAGTGTGCTTGGCATCTGTCTTGTTTTTGTGTCTGTTCTTGCGCTGCACACATCCTATGGGGGGCAATCTGGCATCAGGGACATTCCCTGATGTTGGCAGTGACCATGTAGTAGGGATGGCTCAGATTCTATTATCTTTACTGCCAGAAAGACCCTGAAAATGCTGCCACCATCTCCTTGACAGAGGGATCATTGCAAACCAAATTCACAACAAAAGCTCAGACCAAGTCCTCCTCCCCTTCGTAATGAGTTGCTACAGAGAGGAGTGGGGGGGAAAGACTCATTAGGTTAATGGGAAATAAATGTCACTGTGCAAGTTTACATTTTACAGCACACAGATTCAAATTTAGATAAAGCTGGTGAATAATTAACCAATAAATCTAAATGATGCTTAGTGTTGTGGTGGGAAACTATAGTCAAACCTCAATTGTTTCACCATTAATCATAAAGGCAAATTGTTTGGGCAGTTGTTAAATGCCTGTAGTCAAAGAACTCTCAGAGCCCTTTAAAATTATGATCTGGAAAGGTTGTTAAGGATAATCAAGCTACTTTACAGATCGGGAAATGGAGGTTTGGAGACAGGATGTATGTTGCTGAAGGTTGCACAGCAAATTCATGGCAGAGCTGGACTCGCTTATAACATTATGAAAAATGATGGTCCACAAAAGGATGGTTCTAGTTCACTGTATCTTAATCACTTCTAAGCAGCATGGTGTTAGATTTTAAAAAAAAATACAGGCTTTCAAATAATATAGACCTCATTTCAAATCCACCTAGGCCACTGACAAGCTACATGATCTTAAGCAATTTGCTTTACCTTTTGAACTTTACTTCTTTCATTTATATGTAGAAACTAATAATATCTATCTCACAGCATTGTTGTGAAAATTAAATAAGGTATTTTAGAAAACAATCATGATTAAGCACTTATCTTAAAATTTATAGGTGACTACCAAAAGAATAGAAATATGGTTTGTAGCTTTAGAATCAGCAACAGAGCAAAAGGGATGACAGAAAACATTATCAGTCTATCCAAAAGCAAGAAAGGGATAAAGAAAGAAGCCAAGAAAAGGGACAATGAACCAACAAACACTAAACACAAAAGAGGAGAATAGGAATAATTTCAAATATATCAGAATTATAATAAATGTAAATAATAAATTAAATTGTCCTATGAAAAGTTAGAGACTAAAATACTGGATTAAAGGAAACATACAGGCATGCACACATTTGAAAATGTTGAAAATTAAAGGATAAAAAAAGATCTTACAGGCAAACTAACTAAAAGAAATCAAGCAAAATGAAGTAAGGCGAACATCATTAATGGAGAAAAGAGGGACCTCATATAATGATCAAAGGAACAATCTAAAACCTGCCAAGAAAATGAAGCAATAATAAACTTAGATGGACCTAAAAATATAACCTCAAAATACATAAAAAGAAAACTGAAACATAATTATAAGCAAAATTTGATAAAACCACATTCATGGTGAGAATATAACAAGACTCTCCCAGAAACAGACTAAACAGACAAAACCAAAGTTAATAGAAAGTGATTTTTAATATATTTTTAACTTCTCCTTTATGGTTTATGCTTTTATATTTGAGTACATTATTTAAATTACAAAATTAACAAATTTGATCCATTTGTCATGTATAGAACTCTGTGCCTCAAAAATAAGATTCTTTTTCAGTTGATAATTGATGAAACTTGACCATGAACTGAGGCAGCAAAGAGGTCTCAATAATTTCAAAAAACTATGTTATGCATTCTATCACGTTATATGTCCAAAGTGACACTAAATTAAAAAACAACAATAAAAATTACTCCAAATAATCTTAAAACTAATTTCTAAATAACTTATAGGTTAAAGCAAGAAATCACAGAGGATATGACAGCCTGTTTAGAATGTTAAGGATAAAATGAAAAACATTTAAAATAAAATAAGAAATATTGAACATGAGCTACAATTTTCAACATGAAAACTCAAGGAAGACAACACTATCTGAATTTATGTTCAATTATGATTACAGAACTTCAAGACAGTAATCAAATGTTTACCCTCCTTCCTAAAAGAAACTAGGCCCCAAATACAGGCAAATCATATCAAACCTTCAAGAACTACATAATCCAAATTCCATAAAAATTATTTCAGACATAGTTATAAGCTCATTCTATGAGGTTAGTACAACAGGACAAAAACAGTATAAGAAAATAAAATTAAAAACCAATGTTACTTATGAGCCTGGTTTCAAAAATCCTGAATAAAACATAAGCAATTCAAAACAGCAGTGAATTAAAAATTATATGACTAAGTAAGGTTTATCTGGGAAATCTAATAAGATACATTGTAATATCTAAAATAAAACATATTACATTAATAGATAAATGAGACAAGTCATAGGATTATTAACAGTTGCAGAAAAAGCATCTGCTAATATTCAACAACAAGACTTTTTTTTCAAGTATTAGAAAATTACAAATAGAAGATGGATTTAATCTGATTAGATTTAATTGTCAAATACACACGCAAATGTCATGTAAGTGATGAAAGTGTAGAAGCATCTCTATACAGGTTAGGAACAAGAAAAGGATTCCCACTATCTTCTCTACCATTCACTCTCATACTAGGGTCCATGCCAATGAAATAAGGTAAGAAAAAGAAATAAGAGGTCTAAAAACTGGAAAGGAAGAGGCAAAGCTATTTTCCTTTTCAAATGACAAAGATTGTCTAGACAGAAAGTCCAAAGGAATCTACAGACAAAATATGAAAAATAATAAGAGCTGAGCAAGTTTGATGGATACAAGATCAACACAATAATCAGTAGTGTTCCCATGTGCCACAATAATTAATTGAAACAGAATACAGAAAAATATTCTTTTCATAATAGCCACAGAAACTACAACTTTCCAAGAAATAAATTTAACAAAAACATTCAAGACATATGCAAAGAAATAATAAAAAATATAATAAAAATAAATATTTTATAATTATAAAAATATTATTTTATAATAAAATAATAAAACATTATGAAAGCCAAAATATATGGAGATATATGGCATACACATGAATGCAATGATTCAATATAAAAAATACGTCAATTCTTTCCAACTCACTTCCAACCAAAGCATTTGAAAATCACATCAGGCTTTGTAATGGAATCTTCAAAAGAAGATTAAAGCATTCTAGACTAGATAAGACAATTTTAAAGATGGGCAAGGTAGGCTGTCTTACAAGTTATCAAAACTCAGTGTTAAGACCATATTGTGCAGGAATAGACGGACAGAATGGGTAGCACATAAACACACTCATTCATACATGGAAAGTGTAGAAAAATTATTCATGAAATAAAACAAAGGTTATCTATTTAAGGGAAAAAAATAGAGTCCTACATCAGACTACATACCAAAATAAAATCTAGGTAGACTAAAGACCTTAAAAATGTTCAAAACCTTAAAACTTTAAAAAAACGTAGTGAAATATCTTTATGAACTCAGGTAGGGAAGGATATCTTAAGTTATAAAAACATAAACCATAAAGAGTAACCGATTAAATGACTATTTAAAATAACCACTTTTTATTAAATGAAGGGTACTATGAAATGGCATGACTTTCCATAGAGTAGGAGATATTTGCAACATACGTAACCAAAAATGGACCCTAGCATCTTATATAAGGATCATGAATGACCAAAGGAAAGACAAAAGACTGAACAGGCAATTCACATCAGAGAAAACCACAATAAATGCAAAGAACATACAGCTTCATTAATAATGTGGGACAAGGGGACAAACGGTACAATGTAACACTCAGTGACTAGGCAAACAATTTTTTTAAATGTCTGGCAGTGCCACATGTTCGTAACGATGTAGGGAAGCAAAAGACATACATACATAAATACTTAAATAAACAGACAAACCTACCTACCAACCTGCTAGTAACAGTGTAAACTGTCACAATCACTTTGGGGGAACAATTTGGGCAATATCTAATAATTCCAAAATGATACACTCCTAGGAGCTAGCAATTCCTCTTCTAGCTGCATACCTTGAAGAAGCTGACCCGTGTGCTCAGTGAGACATATGTAAGAATATGCACTGCTGGCTTGTGTCTTAGAGTGGAAACAACGAAATAGCCACCAGTGGAAGGATGGGATTAAAAAAAAAATGAATACTGTGTAGTTCAAACGAAGGAATTAGAGCTACATGTAGTATCACGGCCTGATCTCAAAAACATAGTTCAGAGGGGGATCAAGTACAGAATCACATGTACTGTGCATGGTTAGAGTTTAAACATACATGCACAGGAAGTCACGCTCCAACCTCACGATAGGGGTTTCCTCTGGGAGGAAGGGAGACAGAGGGAGACAGGGGAAGAGGATTGGGACGGGGAACTACCAACTGTTTTAGAAACGTTTTGTTTCCTTAAAAATATCTGAATCAGGGGGCAGCCAGTTAGCTTAGCTGGTTAGAGCACAGGTTCATAACACCAAGGTTGCCAGTTTGAGTCCCACATGGGCCACTGTGAGCTGCACCCTCCACAACTAGACTGAAACAACTACTTCACTTGGAGCTGATGTGTCCTGGAAAAACACACTGCTCCCCAACGAAATTTAAAAAAAAATCCGAATCAATATGGGCAAAATGTTTACTTATGTGAACCCTGGATGCTTGGTGCACAAACATCAATTACATTCCTTGCTCTCCTTTTCCTACGTTTAGCAAATGTCTTAAAAATTGAAAACGTTTACAATGATCAAATGTGATAGTTCATTGAAAGACTCCAGCTTGCTGACTAACGCAAAATCAGCGTTTTATTCATTTAAAGTTACCTTCCCTTTGCACGTAAAGTTTCTTAGATGTTTAGCAATATTTATAAAAAGCTTCTTTCACTGAGTTACCTGCTTTGTTTTGCTGAATGGATTATGTTGAATTGAATGCCACCTTTTCCCCTGATTCCCAACTATCATTCTAGAATCAGCTGTTGGGCTGTGCTCCCTTAGCACTGATGCTAAAGGGAGACAGCAACCTCAGTGGCTCTGAACTCAATGGCCCCAGGTGGCGCAGCTGAAAAACTAGAAAACCCAGAGAAGGAAGATCGTGTACCTTTCCTGTTGATTCTCTCCACTTCCAAAGCTCACTCCTATTGCTGTGGTGGTTCCTTTCCAGGATTCAGTCATTTCATCAATTTTTTTTTTCAAATACACAATGAGCACCTATTTTGTGGGAGGCCTGACTGCTCTAGATGAGCATTTAAAGCGGGGCCCTCATTCCTTTGTGAATAAACAAGTGACTCTTGGGGGAGGTGATTGATGGCAAGATCATTAGGAATTAAAAGACAATGAGTGCACGTTAAGCAATACATTAAAATACACTCCCCTGGGGCAGCCAGTTAGCTCAGAGTGGTTAGAGCTCTGGCTCATAACACCAAGGTTGCCGCTTTGATTCCCACATGGGCCAAGGAGCTGCACCCTCCACAACTAGATTGAAGACAACTATGTGTGTTCCCCAATAAAAAATTTTTTTTCTAAAAAAACAACAAAACAAAAAACTACACTCCCCTATGATGTGTTAAGAGAAATCATAGAAGCCACCGGCATTCCTCTCCAAAGTTGGGGTCTCATGTCACAGCAGCACAGGCAGGGGACCACATGTTTGGAGACGTGATTCCTCCTAATTCTGAAATCAGGAGCTGGCTCTGGCCTCTCCTGGCTGCTTTATTTACAGATGTGCTTCTCTTGAGAGGGGGAGGTCGGTTTTGTCCTCAAGGGACCTCTAGCAATGTCCATGGGCATTTCTGGTTGTCACAACGAGGGGGTGTGCTACTGGCATCTAGTGGGTGGAGACCAGCGATGCTACTCAACATCCCACCGAGCATGGGACAGCCCCACAAGAAAGAATGATGCAGCTGGAAAGGGACCGATGCCGTGGATGGGAACACTGATAGTGATGGCAACAACCCCGCTAAGCTTGTTCTCCAAAAGCTCAGGCAGTTCACTAGCTCACCCATGTAGACAGAAGTGGCCCAGCTTGGGTTGAAAGCCACATTTGCCTGACTCTGAACCTGGCTGCCTCTAGCAAAACTCTTGTTCTCACGAGCGGCCAGCTGTGAGCGCAATGGCCATTCAAATCCACCCCATTAAAGCCGGGCTGCCTTACACGCTCACTCCAACAGCTGCTGAAGGCAAGGTAACCCATCTGTCACTCTGGCTGGGCCCACTCTTTATTTTCATGGGTTCTTCCAAGAACCCTGCTGTGTGTGAACCCCAGAAGGTCCCCTTTGAAGGGCCAGCGATATGGACAGGGACAGAATTGGTGGAGAAGAGAGCACTCGGGAAAAGCCGGTGGAGGCCAGCTGAAAGGACCGGCCCCTGGCCTGTCCCGAAGATGCCACCAGTTGGCCTCCCCATGAGTCCTTTTCTCTAATAGGGCCCGAGGCAGGGATCATGTTCTCCCAAATGTCTGCTCCTGTCTTCCCCTTACCTGGTCACAGAGGGTTCCGATCAGGCCTTCCAAGTCCTGCTTTTCATGGAGGACCATCTGTTTCTCCTCATATTCTTGCTCCAGCTGCATTTCCAGCTGGCGGAGCTGTGGGCACAAAGGGTAGATACATGCACAGGACAGATGAGCTCCACCTGGACCAATCCCACAACACAGGAACCTTCCCGAGGAGGAGGGGGTATGAAGCTTGAGGCCCCTTGCCCAGCCCCACAAAGGCTGCCCTGGAAATTAGAAGCAGGTGTCTCTGTTGGAGAACTCAGGAGCCTAAAAGCTTCAGACCCGGACAACTATGGGGAGAGCTGGCCAATTTAGAAGAGCCCCCTGCCATTCACGGTGAAGCCCCGCCTCCGGTTTCCTTCCCATTTCTACACGGATGTCTCCCTCCTATGTCATGACCCAGCTTGAATATTTACAAGTCTTGGCACTCAGACTTTTTAAGGCTTTGCACAACATTTTATCCAATATATTAAAATGCGCCCATCTCCCTTATTAAATATATAAATATATTATGATGCGGTAAAAAAAAAAGTCACATTTGAGATGATTGGGTGTTATGGACTGCATGTGTGTGTCCCTCCACAATTCATCTGTGGAAACCCTACCCCCAACACAATAGTATTGGGAGGTGAGGCCTTTGGGCAAGTAACTAAGTTTAGGTGATGTCATGAGGGTGGGGCCCCCATGATGCGGTGAGAGCCCTTAAAAGAAGAGACACCAGGGAGTTTGCTTCCTCTCTCCCTGCCTAAAACGAGGAAGCAGTGGTCTGCAGGCCAGATAGGAGGCCCTCACCACGCACCAAATGTGCCGGCACCTTGACCTTGGACTTCCTAGCCTCCAGAACTGTGAGGAATGCACGTTTGCTGTTTAAGCTGCCCAGTCTATGGTATTATTATAGCAGCCCTAACTGGCTAAGATGTTTGACTACAAGGAACTCATTGAATTTATAGTTAGCTCTGATGCCTCCGCCATCACCCAGCAAGGGCAGGCATCCGCTGCTAGAGTGAACACCCCAGCAGCTTTGCACACCCTCTTCCCCACCAGCCTCTCTCAGGCGTGCTTTTACCGCTTTATCCTCCTCAACCTCATGCCTTCAATGACCCCATTTCACAGATGGCAAACTGGGTCAGAGAGAGGTTCCCAAGTGCATACCCTTAAGTCCGTCATTGCTAAGAGCAGTTAGCTGTTGGTGTCCTGGCCCCAGACGGCCACCCCACACAGCCATCAGCATTCCCGCCCCGGTTCTAACAATTGATTTCCTGCCATGCTGAGAGATGGGCTGAGCAGAGCAGTCACCAGGTGTGAAGTGAATGTTGGCGTCTGTCATAAGGAGAGAAGCACCTTTCTCTGACCTCACTCTGTACCTTTATAAATCTGTCCCCGGGAAAGCCTCGGGAAGGCCTGGGTCACATCTCCAGTCATGGGGGCCCTGGCTCAGGGCACGTGTCATGCTTTGAGATACTCCTGAAATGCACCAGAAACTGTGCAACCTTCACTGGAGGGCACATGGGCAGGGACTGAGGGCTTTCGTCTCCTGACCCATGGAGGGGGAAAAAAAAATCAGTGATCGATGGTCACTTAGGTAGAAAGCAAGTTCATTGCAAAACTTTCTTTTAAGAGAGATATAAGGCACTTGGCTCACCTCTGCTTTCAGAATGAACAGTGGAACAGCTAAAAACAAATTTTGAAAAGTATACAAAGTAATAAAAACTATGTATCGAGCAAGGCAGAGTTTTCTGGAGTGTATTCTATAGAATATTTCCACGTGCAGTTCACAGGTATGATGTAGGAGAGGAGACGGAAATCTATGCTAGAATAAGTGTGGGCACCACTGAGTTGACAAGTTCTTCAGCGCAGGACTTATCAGAGCCTTTGGTAAGTCTTTGTGGAGGAAGCGCTATGGGAAGGAGCACTGCCCAAGGTTGACTTCTATCAAGTGCTTCCTAAATGCCCTTTTGTAGTTCAAATATTTGGGGGTCGGGGAATCTTATATTTTGGTTAAGAGGCTGGGCTTTGGAGTCAGACAGACCTAAGTTCAAGTCCTAGCTCAGGTACTCCCCAGCTGGGTGACCATGGGCAAGTCACTTCACCTGCAGAACCAGGACAATCAATCCTCACGGAGTTCTTGTGTGGGTTAAGGAAGGTGATAGACAGGAAGAGCCCAGCTTGGTGCAGGGCGCCCGGTGGGTGTTCAAAGAGTGCCGTTCATTTCTGCCAAATATGCAATAATGGGAAATAAGCAGAAATGGGCCCTTTCGTGATAACTCCCAGCACTTTACAGTTTACAAGGTATGTCCCATTCTTTTATCTCGTCTTCACAAGAACATAGGGAAGGCAGAGCATGTTTGGTCATTGCTCTCACTTCATAGACGAGGAAACAGAGTCTTGGGGAAGTTACAAGACTTACTCAAGGGACCCCCGTTCTGGTTGAGCCCAAATCATTGACTTTTCTTTCCAGCCCTGGGGAGCGGGGCCCTTCAGGATGAGCCATGGGAACCTGAGGAGCAGGACAGGTAGCAGAGGCAGCAGCATCAACCACTGGGGGGCGAGGAATGGGCTCACTTCTTAAACACTCCTCTGGAGTGACGACAGGGTGTCGAGGCAGTCCGACCTGTCCCAGCTGGGTTCCTGGCACTCGGAGGTCCTGTCAATCACCAATGCCCCCTCCAGCCCTGCCCAGGGTGATGCTCCCCTGTGGGCTCTGCAGGGTGCCAAGAACCCGTATCCTCCTTCTCGTCGATGGATTGATCATGCCTAAGAGCAAGTCAGCCACCAGGCTGGTTCCCTGGCCCCTCTGGGAGGGTCGGCTGCCTAGAAACCCACACACACCAGTATCGCTCATCAACCTCCAAAAAACAAGGATTACGTTACAAAACTCTGTGCAATGTTTTCATATCTATGATCTCCTTGAGTCTTCATTGTCACCCTGCAAAGTAGCCACTGTTGTCCCATTTGACAGATGAGAAAAGTGAGACTTTTTAGCAAGGTTATGTGATGTCTCCAAAGCCCCACATTTGGTAGTTGATGGAGTTGGGACTTGACCCAAGCCTCTGAGGCTCCAAATGAAGTAGTAACATTGGCTTTCTTGAGTGTCTTATGAACTGGCTCTCAGTGGCCTGACCTGGCTCGAGAGCCAGGAGCCGAGGAATGGAATGGATATGAGTTGAAGTTGAGGGTTTAAAAATCCCTTTCCCAAGATTACACGCTTGTTACATTGAAAGGGCAAAGACTCGAATCGAGAATCTATGAATTCCAACATCCTTGGCTCCCAATCCCTAGAGTCTAGAGGTCTCTGCAGAGAGACTATTTAGGGAGCTAATGATAGGAGTCAACTTTGGGAAATGCTACCCGGCCCCTTTTGGAGACGCACCATGCACACGAGGCTATCACAGACCTGGGGAGAAGGCCTACAGTGACCAAGCCTGTTAAATAGCTTCACTTAAAGCTTGCCAGCAATGCTGCTTTAAGGATTCATTTTGCATTCATATCAGTCAATGTATCTATAAGGATATTTATCTCAGCACTGGTTATAATAACAGAAAGTCAGAAACATCCTAAGTATCCAACCATAGGCTTATTGAATAAATCAGAGCCCCTGCCCAAGATGAACTACTTTTAAGCCGTGAAACACGTAGATTAGCTCTGTATTTACTGACATGGAAGGAGGCCCAGGACAAACTGAATAGCAGATTTCAAAACAGCCTGACCCCTTTCAGGTAAAATGCTAGCTCTACAAATGTGTGTGTGCGTGTGTGTGTGTGCGTGTGTGTGTGTGTGTGTGTATCGAGTGAAAGAGAGAGATGAAATAGAATTTAAAAATAGTAATAACGATGGTTTCCAGGTGGTTAGAGTTCAAGGGTCTATTGCTTTCTTACATACTGTTTGAAATGTCTGCATAGAGCTTGGATAAACTATAAGAAACTATTTGAGTTGCAAGGGAAATAGCGAGAAGGGACTTCTTGAGACACCTTACCCAAGGCATCAGTCATATGGCATTAGGGGCTCTTGGCAGGAATCTTGGGGTGATTACACTGGACAGTTCTAGAGGCTTCTGGAAGTTTCTAGATCATATATATAATAGATACGTCTGCTCCAGCACCCTTGAAAGCACTTAGGGAGCTAAGGTCTCAGGTGGTTGCAGACAGAGCCCACCCCAGTCCCTGACTCCCCATCACTCTAAGGAAAAGGGCACCAGGACTGAGCCTGCCAGGGCCCAAGGGCACAGCTGTAGTCACTGCTCACGTACCCGCTTCTGGCAGGACTGGCGGACATCCTCCAGCTCCTCCTCCTGGTCCTCACGGTCCTTCTGGTGCATCTGCTTCATCCGCACTATCTCAAGCTCGAACCGCTGGCGGAGCTGTTGGGGCAGCAGGGACAGCACATGAGGCTGGCTCTCACCCACTCCCTGGCCCTCCATGTCATCCTTGGCATTCCAGTTGCATTTTTTACTTTTGGAGTGCATGGATGAGTTATCTCCCCAGGTGCCCCGGAAGGTCAGATGTAGTAAATAGTCCAAATGCTGCCTCTACTCCTTCCTGTGGTCATAACAGACATCACTAATCAATCACACTCTTTTCCACTGAGTTTACATGTAGCTCAGAATCCTTCTCAACATGCTTAAGATGAAATAAATTTGTCATCTCTGGAGCAGGCATCAGTGAGGGTTTTTTGGATGGGTGGATAGGTGAGTGGATGGATGGTAGGATAAAAATTTATTGACGATAATATGCAAACCTGAAGAGGGTGATAACTGGCCCAAAATGTTTCCTTGGATAATTCACTTTGCCTCTGATCGGTTCCTTTTCTCAGTAGCAAACAACAATCTTAGGCTGCGACTATGAGAATTAAATGAGATGACCCATGTACAGCACTTAGCACAGTGCCTGACACATCACTATTAGTTTTCTCTTTCCCTGTAGTTTTGAAGACAGAAAGTACTATCCCCTCCCTTCCTGGTAGCCTGACCTGATAAGAGCTGTGTTCCCATGAAGGACTCATCTCTTTTTTTTAAATTAAACTTTATTGGGAACAATGTGTTTTTTTTGGGGGGAAACAATATGTTTTTCCCAGGACCCATCAGCTCCAAGTCAAGTTGTTGTCCTTCAATCTTAGTTGTGGAGGGTGCAGCTCAGCTCCAAGTCCAGTTGCCTTTTTCAATCTAATAGTTGCGGGGGGCACAGCCCACCATCCCATGCGGGAGTCGAACTGGCAACCTTGTTGTTAAGAGCCCGTGTTCTCACCAGCTGAGCCACCCGGCTGCCCCAAGGAATCATCTCTTACATGAGGCCCTCCTGAATTTGCTCAGAACGGACAGAGAGCTGTGCATGCTATTTAAATGGGGTGGTGTATGAAAGGCTCTGAAACTGGAGGCAGAAGTCATGGGCTCCAGTTCTAGTTGATTTCACTTTCTTGATCTGCATAATTGAGAGACTGACCCAAGCGCTTGCTCTTCAAATTTTATGGCACCTTAAAATTTCCTAATTTTTTTTTCTTTTTTAATTGGGGAACAGTGTTTTTCCAGGACCCATCAGCTCCAAGTCGGGTAGTTGTTTCAATCTAGTTGTGGAGGGCACAGCTTACTGGCCCGTGTGGGGATCGAACCAGCAACCTTGGTGTTGTGAGCACTGCACTCTAACCACCTGAGCTAACCGGCTGCCACCTAATGTATTTTTTAAAGTTAAATTTCAGAGCTTTACCCTAGACCTATAGCATCAGACTCTCCGGGGCATAGGGCCCAAGAATCTCTACTTTTCAGCTGTCATTTATCTATACTCTTCAATGCTATTGGTCCATGGAGCAGCCTTTGAACTCATACTGTGGGTTACATTGTAGAAACTCTAACTTTCTGAGAATTTACCATGCTGCCCCATCCCCCACCCCCCCACTTCTCACCAAACTTCCGGAAGGTTACAATTACTGTCCCTAACATAGAACTTAAGTTGAGAAAAAACAACCTCGGTCTTTCAAAATATTGATAATATTCTCTGCTATGTAGGACTGGGGCGAAGGGGGAAAGGAGAGTGTAATCGGAGCCCCTATTACGGTTCCTGGCATAAAGTATGCTCACTGTAAATGTCAACTTCCTTCCTCGCCTCCTTCAGAATGACAGAGGTTATGGGGAGATAATCCAAAATGAGGAGCTTAAGCAAGTAAATATAATATTTCTTTTTCATTTTTTCCCTAGCCTCTCGGACACTCCTGACATCTGCAATACCATTTATGTCAAGCTTATATGAGTTAACATAAAATCCCCTAGAAAAAAGAGCTATATTGTCATCAATAAATATCTCCGGGATGTCGACAAGGGCACAATGCAGTCGGAAGTTATGGGTGAAGCTACAGATGAATGAAAGTGTTGAGTCAGCCTCTCCTCCCATGTGTAAGGTAAGGATGGTCAATTCGGAAGCTGCATTAACTTTCAGGTCTCTGAGGTCGCAGTACCACCTTTCTGCTGCTGAGCACTGAGTGGTCCCCTGGTGGTATCTTAAAGAGTTAACACGATTTTCCAACGTGCTTGCTTTATTCTTGACTCTGGGGTGCTGGGTGATGCTGCACCATCCTCCATGCTCCTCAACGTCCTACACAGCTATTCCCCCTCCTTCCTGAACCTTTGCAGATTCATAGGTGGCTTTGGGGGGGAAAATAGGGGATTGACAAGACTCAGATTTCACTGTACAGGTGAGGAGACGGAAGCCTAGAGAAAACAGGGGGCTTGCCTAAGGGCGTACAGACAGTGAGCTGCCTCGCGGACCCCATCTGCATGAGACCAGAGCACGGCTCCTTAAATGCCACATGGCTTCGTTGCCGCCAGACTTTTGTTGCATGGGCTGTTCTTCCTGCCGCGAATTCTCTTGGTCAGCCAACTCGCATTCATTTTTCAGCTGTCAGCTTTGGTAAATGTCACTTCCTCCAGGAAGTCTTCCCTAGTTCCCCAGCTCGGCTCCCAGGACCAGATCTGCAGGTTACACTTTCCCATAACACTCAGCGTGACTGTGAACTTCAGGAGGCCACGTGTGGCCTGTTTGCAGCTGCATCCTTAGCATCTGCATGGTGCATGGACACAAAGTAGGTGCTTCATAAAAATGGGCTGATGGAGGGAGTAAAGGAGCTGTTTTCTGAACAGCTCCAGACTCTGTCCCTCCGTGTCCACCATACCTGGTCCTTGATACTCAGCAGGCTGCACCCTGATGTAGTGGGGGGTAAGCGAGAAGCACGGGTGGGCACCCCCACCCTCCCCCCCACACTCTCCACCCCCAACCCCCAACCTCCAACCCCACTGCCTCACCCTCCTACCTTGTCACTTGCTACTTCATCAGAGCTGCTCAGAGTTCCCCACTCTACATATTTACACTGCCTGGTCCAATTTTCCCAACCTTAACACTTCTCCAAAATAATTGCCCCACATGAAATCTCACTTGAGAAATTTCTCTAGAGCTCAGCATCAAGAAAAGCCTTGCTTCCCCCTTGAAAAACTGGGGATAAAAATCTCGTGGGGATAATAAAAAGCACGCAGCTCACATTTCCTTTTTCTCTCTGGCCTCTAGGAATTTTAGAGCTAAAACAATTAAGTGTGTAAGAGCACATGTTTTGCATATCTGCATATTAATTCACTGTCCCCCCCTCCCTTAGCTTCTATTTTAATTTGAGTTTTTCTGGTTGGGATTGTTTTCCTGATAAGTTTTGTATTTTGTTATGCATACATCTTATCAGCGGCCTCGAATTCTTTATGGAACAAGGTAGGCACATAAACAAACAAGCAGACAAATAAAACGTTAATTCGCTACTTCGTTGAGGGTGCTGGCACTAGAGTATTTCATATTCCTGCCTTGTTTCCCTTAGTTATTTTGCATTCCCCAAAGACTAGCACTCCAGTCTCCTTGAGGGTGTGTGCAGCGCTGTGCACATAGTAGGTGGTCAGGCACTGTGGAGTCACATGGCCCAGGCTCCAAATCCCATCCCTGCCACTGTCCCCACACCTCTGGGCCTCAGCTTCCACACCTGGAAAGTGGAGATAATACTAATAATATCTCACCATGTAAGATTCTTGTGGAGAATCATGAGATGATACGTGGGGAGAGCTTGGGGCTGAGTCTGGTACACAGACAGTGCTCAATAAATGTCAGATATTGGGTCAGCAGTTATTAATTGAGCACCAACTAAGTACCTGACCTCCTTCTAGGCTCTGGGGAGGCCCTATAAGAAAGATCAACAACAAAAAAAATCTGTCTTCCTGAATCTTATATCCTGATTGGGGAGAGAAGCATTGAGCAAAACTGTTTTTAAATACTAGCAAATAGGATGGCAGGTACTGTGAAGAAGAACTAACCAGCTAAGGAGGTGGACAGTGAATGTGGCCTGGAGGTGGGCTATTTTCAAGAAGGTTATCAGGGCAGGCTTCTCTGAGGAGGTGACACTGAGGCTGGCAGGATGGTAGGATTGGGCTAGCACATGAAGGATCTGAACGTTAGACCCAGGGATTCAGAGGTTCTCGGCGGTAATAGGGAGCCACAGCAGGATGAGGAGCTGCTGAATGAGATGACCGTCTCGCATGTTAATAACACCTCTCTGCACTGGAGCCAGCGTGGGTCAGGGCACTGCCCCCAGACAAGGCTCTCTTACCTGCTCCAGCTGCTTGATGGTGTTTTCCTGCTGGTTCTGGATTTTCTGCTGCTCCAGGGCACTGGATTCCAGCTTCCAGAGTTTCTCCTTCAAACCACCGACACAATTTTCCCCCAGAGAGGGCGCCTCCAGCAGCTCCCGCTTCTGGGCCTGCAGCATCTCCACCTTCTGCTGCAGCTGCGAGGTTTCCTGCTCCTTTTGCTACAGAGACAAAGAGGGCAGCGATCCAGAGTCACGTGACCACAACCCCCCTCCAGGGTCACCTCTGCAACCCGCTGGCTTGGTGCAATCCACTTTTCAGTGCACGCCGGCTCCACTTCAGCCTCGCAGACCCTCACAGCGCCCCCTGTGGGACACCACGGGCTGCTCCCTGGAACAGCACACACAGGCAGGGGTGGGAGAGCAGCGCCATTGCCCCTAAAGTAGACCTCAAAGCACATAAAGGGGGTGCTTGCCCCATTTGTTAGCTGTGCGTCTGCTGAGGCCAGGATTGAGATGGAGCAGGGAAGGGCATGTCCGGAAATGAGTCTTACAGGTTAGAAAGTTCACCTCCAGGATCAAAGAACTCCGGGCTAGATGGTGAAGGAGTTGCATGCCAGGCTAAGAGGTTTAGAAGTTCTCCCAGGGGTAACAGGGAGCCACAGCAGGGTGAGGAGCAGCCAAGTGAGGTGCCTGTGTCACAGTTTAATAAAACCCCTCTGTGTTGAAACCTGCAGGGGACAGGGCACTGCCCCCGGACTGGGCTACAGCTAACTCTATGCCAAGCCTCTCACCTCCTAGGGTGGGCACCTTGGAATTCATGCAAGTGACCAGAACAATTTCAATACATCAAGCTAGGGAGGTCTGATAACCAAGCTGCCGTCCGCTGTTTGTTTTATTAAGGCACGCTGCATCCGTGACGCCAGCTGGCTGGCAGACCAGCACACCCACGCAGAGCTCCCCCCGTCACTGTTTATAGCTGGTGCACGGTGGGGTTTCCTGAGACCAAGCAACCAAGAGCCGAGAGGTTCCATGCCCTCCATCCCTTACCTTCAACTGCTGCTGCAGCTGGCCAAGTTCCCACCGGACGCTGGTGTTCTCCTGGGTCACTTTCTCACGGAGGCCCTTCTCAAACACGGACTCACCCAGGGCCTGAGCCAGCTGCATGTCAAACCTGTCCGAGCAAAACATGTGTCATGACCAAGGTGGGGCACCTGGGGCAAGGGAGGAGAGGGGCTGGCGGGGGCAGCAAGCTTGCCGAGAACCAGAGAGAAAGAGAGAGAGAAAGACAGACAGACAGAGAGAGGGAGAGAGAGAGGTAACAAAATGATGGAGGGTTCGCTTGATGCTTTTATATAAGGTTGTGGATGTGGGGTAGGAATCTAGAACACCAAAGAGCAACTTTTAGGGTTTATATAGAGTTTCTGCAAAAATATTGAATACATATTTAAAATGTGATAAAAATAAGAATAGACAAAACTCTATACAGATAGAGAATAAGAATAAAAAAAACATATCTAGAGAAAAAGCTCATCTATCTGGTTTGCCAATATGTGCCAAGAACCTTGAACTCCACAAGGCCCAGGTTTGGCATCTGATAATCATGGATCGGTGAATGGATGAATGCAGAGTCCACGTGAGCAACGGATGGCCCACGTTTCATATTTTACATGACGTTGTTGGTCTTATACACTGACAACCCGTTTGGAGCTGGACACTGCTGGACATTTACACATTCAGTCTTGCCTTCATTTGTTTCCCCAGCAGATAACATAAAGTCTATCGAGTCCTATTTAGGGCTGTCCAGGGAATTAGAAAATGGCTCATGTGGGGCCCACCTGGCCCTCCAGGATGGTGACCACTGGGTGAGAAGCACTTCCTGGACTTTACTTCATTCCATGGAACTGTCTCGGCCTTTGAGTCCTGTTACAGATGAGGAAACCAATAGAGGTGGCTCTGCCAAGCCTCAGGGAGCTGTGACTTTGGTCACTTGCCCTCAGACCACATAGGAAGGTCCACTGCTCCTGGGAACTTGGCGTGACCAGAAAGGCCAAATGGGGCAAGGGGTTTTGGGCCTTGGTGGAAAGAAGGTCTCCCTTATTACAAGATTACCGAATGTCCTTTAACACTAGATCGTCATTCTAAGCCTCAGACTCCTGAGAAAGTCAATCATGGGTCACATGAGGGAACCCCTACTGTTGGAACTGCCCAGGAGCTTTCTGATTGGCTGTTGGTGACATCATTCAAGAGGCGCTATTGGCTGCGTCTGAATGGAAACATTGTGATGACAGTAATGACCTACCAGTCCCAAAGTGCCAGGCTCTGGGCTTGGGTCCATGTAGTACTTATAACAATTCGGCAAGCAACATGCTATTATAGCCATTTTACAGAGGAGAAGTGGAGTGATTCAGCCCAAATTTCCAAAGCGGTGGAAGTAGGATTGAGCCCAGGCTCTGCTATCTTAGCTAGTCTCCCATGCTCTGGGACAGGTGGGGAAAAACAGGGGGAGCCAGACAGTAACTGATGTTTCCAGGGAGTCCTTAACAGACCGCCTAATGCCAAAGAATGGCTCCTCCAGACCCCAACTTCTGGGTCATACCGACCGACCAACTGAGGCCAGAGAGATTTGCACATGCCCTTCACCCCCCCCCCCCCAGAAGTGGGGCTGGGATCCAGCCTCTGGTGAGTATGGGATTCAGTGAGTCCAGCACAGACCTTACCCCAAGGAAGCAGGCTGGGGCTTCTATCAGCCCTCGGAACTGAGCTTTGTGACCTATGGGGTAACCATGGCAACAAGAAGCCAACCCCACATGGAACCATGCTGGACTACTCTGAATTTGGAAGCCAAGGGTCAAGGCAGGGAACTCTACGAGTATGGAGACATCCTTCCATCCTGGGCCCAGCAAACGAAGGAAGTAACTGTATCTACAATGTGATGAAATTTAGAGACGTGAGGAGGAAGCATTGCTAACTCTAGCTCTATCCCTTATGATGGTCATTCCGCCTGAATTTCCACCCTTAGACTGAGACTTGCACAAGTTCCCTGCTAAAACGCAAATCTACCTAGAAAAATAATGACGGCTGTGTGCAATTAGCACCAAAACATAAATTAACTTCTGCCAAGAGATGGTGGCAGAGTAGAAGGCATTACAGGATGAGTGTAAGTCTTGAGAGGAAGAAATGTAAGTATGAAGAAATGGGGACTTTCCCAGTGGGGCATCATGGGAAGGTTGTTTAGTACCTCAAATAAGGGATTCTGCCCAAGAAGGTGAAGGAAAGACCAGAGACATGGAATTTTCTGGCTGAGTGAACTCTAGTGGCAGACCCCTTCCCCATCAGAGAGCTGAACCCCTCAATAAGGCCTCTGAGAACTCCTCAATAAGGCCTCTGGAACCCACAGGTGACCAAAATCGCCATAGCTGGCAGAAAACTGAGGGATGGCTCCATCTGTAAATCCCTCTTGATTTAGCCATTCTTCAGTTCTAGGAGGACTTTGTAAGCCCAAGGACTCCTCGGGCCTACAGAGGTGGTGTCATTTGACAAGGTCACCCAGGAAATAACCAAGGTGGGACTGAGCTATGTTTCCACTGCAAGGACAAGTTTTAGCCAGAGCACCCATGAGAAGGTAGCAGAGGAAACAAGTCAGATAGATATAAAAAAGATGAGAATAAACCTCTCTTATTTGGGTTGGGGGGGGAGGGGCTCATGCTAACAACCTCCAAAGATCTTTTTTTCAGATGAAGAAGCCAGCTCAGGAAAGCTCAAGGAGAAAGAGAGGAGAAACAACATTACATGCAGATCAAGTTCAAAATCTATGCCACTCCCATGGAAATATAATTCAGCTTGCCACCTCTTGGAAAAGAGGCACCCTCAGCAAAACCACATGCTGGCACACACATGAACGTTTTTCTGTATTTTTATCCTGGACCTTCTAAAAGAGGCTACGTTTGATCTATGTGCGGCCTGTGAAGTTTCTATGAGGGCTTGTGTGGCTCATACTAGGACCCCTGCACACCTTTTCCCCTCACCCAGTAAGCTGAAGAGCTTCAGACGACAGCCAAGGGTGTCCAGGGATTGACGCATCACAGGTGCTGAGGTTTTGCATAAGGAAGTCTGTGAGCGTGGACCTGGATTCCAGCCTAGCCTCCACCACTGGCTAGCTGTGACAGCATCCCGATGGGAACACAAGCGTGGGAACAAGGCTGCGGCTTCAAGACCGCCATCTTGTTCATGCACAAGGTCCAGTCCCTGCCAGAACTGTTCACATGACCCGAGAGTCTAAACCCTAAGTGATAATGGAATTGACTCATTTTCTTTCCCCATGTTTCACAATACGGATAGATGGAGACCAGAATTTAATCCAGGTGGATATACCAAGTGTATCATTCAGTCCTCACCATAAAGGAACATTCTCACCCCTCAACCTAAGGATAAGACTCTGAGGCTGAGAAGTGGCGGATGACTTGTCCAAGGTCACACGACTTAGAAAGAGCCCCCGCGGAGATTTGAACCAGTGTGGTTTGACACCAGCACTTGCACTCCTAACCACCATGCTAAGCTGCCTTTGTCCTCCGTGACAAACTCTTCACTTGATAAATGGGGATGCTGAGGCCCAGAGAGGCCTAGGAAGTTCCCCAAGGTCACAATGTCAATTGGTAACAGAGCTGATACGGGGTAACAGGAAAGAATCATTTTCTGCTGGATGCTTGCTTACAGCAATAAGGTATGTATGTGTGTGAAGGAGGGGAGGGGGAGAATTAGGGCAGAGCAAGGGAGTTAAGCCCCATGGATGAGGAGCCCTGGCAGAGATGAGGGGGCTCAGCAGAAGAAGCCGGAGACCCCAAAAGACCCCACCACCAACGCAGCCCTTCCCGGCACCCAGGTGATGATATGGACTGCGACTCACTTCTTTTGCTTCTTCTCAAGCTCGTGGTTTCTGCTTTGCTGGTTCTCCAGCAGGAAGCGGGTGTCCTCCAAGTCACAGGTCAGATGGTGGCACTTCCTCTTTAGTTGGTGAGCCATCTTCTTGGCCCCCTCGTAAGCACTCTGCAGCTCCCCGAGCTGTGGGAGTAACAGGATGAATCACCCCACTGAGAAGGGTTTTTTCTTATTTCAAGCAGCTGTCATGTCCAAGGTGAGCATAATGGAAGGAAAACCGGCACTGGAGGCGGAGACACCCGGTCTGGGCCACTTGTTACCTGTGTCACCTTAGGGAAGCCACTTCTCGGAGACTCAGTTTCCCCAGGGGTAGAATGGAGGGTAATCCCATTCATCTCTTGGGGTGGCTTTTAATTTTTTTCCAATAATCCTAATGTCAACACTCTGGCAGATCCCTTACACGCCCTGCCTCAACTTGAGGGCCCCTTGAGGGACTATACAACAAATGTCCCCGTCAGCTGGCATCATATGGGGAGCTGTGTGAGGATTAGCCAGGAAGCAGCCAACACAGCCCACGGAGAAAATCAGACCGGAAAACCCAAGAGACAAACTCTAAAGATTAGAGCAGTAAATGACACGTTAGATGGCTGACTTACACAGGAATGCACACAGCCAGCCGTAAACACACAGAAAGCAAAGGCGCTTGCATCTTCCTCCAGGAAACACCCTCCCAAATGGCCTAGTTTCGATCTGGGAGAGAGGACAACTTAGAACACTCGCTTTGAAGAAATGGCCTCATTAAGGCACTGCTTTAAATAAGCAAAAATGCTGAGTTAATGAAGCCTGTAATTCTAAATTCAGTATTTGAAGGCGAATGAGATGTTTTCTTATATTCGGCTACTCAGAAAAGGTTGCAGTTTCATTACTTTTTAATGTAGCATGACTGTCCCCTTTCCTTGGGGATACTGACCCAACTTGGTGATTTGTTATTAAAGAAGTGGGCTATTTTCCTGTAGTTGTCCTTCTGTGTTTATCTACAGTACTGGTGTCTCTTAAAGGACCATAATATAATGTCCAAATTGGGCGCGACCAATAAAGCCATCACCACCATGGAAGATCATGAGGCTCGCTTCCATTGTTTGTAAAATTCCATGTGACCGCAACCTGGCCCACCTCTGCAAGGTGATCTCATGACGCTTTTCTCTCACACTGAGGAGATGTATATAATAATAGCATAGGCCACGATGACCTCAACTCTCATGGTACGTACCTCTAGTGGGGAGACCAAGAAGGAAACAGATAATCACAATACAGTGTGATGAGGCTTATATTTGGAGAAACGATGCAGGGGCACCCAACCGAATCTGTGTCAGGGAAGACTTTCTGGAGGGAATGACATTTAGGCTGAGATCTTAAGGACAGTTAGAGATATCTAGGTAGGAACGTTCTAGGAAGAGGAAACAGCATATGCAAAGGCCCAGAGGTGAGAAAGAATAAGGCACATTTTTGAAGGATGGGGGGAAAAAACACCATAAAACAGTGCAATGAAATAGAATAGAGAGCCCAGAAATAGACTCACTAAACTTAGTCAACTGATCTTTAACAAAGGAACAAAAGCAACACAATGGAGAAAAGATAGTCTTTCAACATATGATGCTGGAACAACTGGATATCCAAATGCGGAAAAAATGAATCTAGACATGGACCTTACACCCTTCATAAATCTTAACTAAAAATGGATTACAGAATGTAAAATAATATAAAACTTTTAGGAGATAACATAGGAGAAGACCTAGATGACCTTGGGTTTGGAAATGGCTTTTTGGATATGACACCAAAGGCATGGTCCATGAAAGAAGTGATAAGCTGGACTTTATTAAAATTAAAAATTCCTCCTCTGCAAAAGACACTATCAAGAGAATGAAAAGACAAGACACAGCCTGAGAGAAAATATTTGCGAAAGACATATCTGATAGAGGACTGTTATCCGAAATATACAAAGAACTCTTAAAACTCAACAATTGGAAAACCAACTTCATTAAAAATTGGGGCAAAGACCTTAACAGACACCTCACCAAAGAAGATACATGACAAATAAGCATGTGAAAAGACGTTCCACATGATATGTCATCAGGGTAATGTAAATTGAAACAGCGAGATACCACCACATACTTACTAGAATGGCTAAAATCTGGAACACTGACACCACCAAATGCTGGTGAGGATGTGGAGCAACAGGAACTCTCATTCACTGCTGGTGGGAAGGAAAATGGTCGACACTTTGGAAGACAGTTTGGTGGGTGTTTACAAAACCAAACCTACTCTTACCATGTGATCCAGCAATCATGCTCCTTGGTATTTACCCCAAGGAGTACAAAACTTCTGTCCACATAAAAAAACTTGCACACAGATGTTTATAGCAGCTTTATTCATAATTGCCAAAATATGGAAACAACCAAGATGCCCTTCAGTAGGTGAATGGGTAAATAAACTGTGGTACATACAATGAAATATTATTCAATGCTGAAAAGAAATGAGCTATTAAGCCATGAAGGAATCTTAAATGCACATTACTAAGTGAAAGAAGCCAATATGAAAAGGCTACACACTGTATGATTCCAACTGTATGACATTCTGGAAAAGGCAAAACTATGGAGACAGGAAAAAGACCAAAGGTTGCCGGGGTTAAGAGGGAGGAATGAATGGGGGAGCACAGAGGATATTTTGGGCAGTGAAACTGTTCTATATTAAATTATAATGGTGGATGCCTGTCATTACACACTTGTCCAAACCCACAGAATGGACAACACCAGGAGTGAACCATGATGTAAACTATGGACTTTGGGTGATAATGGTGTGTCAGTGTGGGTTCATCATTGTAACAAATATACCCCTCTGATGAGGGATGCTGATAGTGGGAGCAAGGGGTATATGAGAAATCTCTGTACCCTCCTTTCCATTTTGCTGTGAACCTGAACCAACTGAGTGTGTTAGGACTCAGTGGAATGCTGGAGCTGGCTGCTACTGATCTATGAGAACCGATTCTGCACATTTCCTTCCAACTCTACATTCAATGACAACACAATTGTAACTTCAAATGGACCGTGGTTGGGAGTATCCACACCATGGAAATTGGCTATTGGCAAAAGCTATGCATGGGGTGGTGTGGGGGGTTGTCTGTTTATGTTCAGAGAGCTGGTTTACCAGCCTACCACTAGTTAGATTATAGACTAGAGGTGGCTGGAGGCAATGCAAGACAGGCAAAGGGCTAAACCATTGTGCTCCTCTAGAAACACTAGATGAGATTCCATTAAATTTGTAATGTCAAAGCTGCACTTTCAAGAAAGGGAAATTTCAGAATATTGGAAATGCAGAACCGGCCGAGTGGCGCGTTGGTTAAGAGTTGGCTTGGGATGCCAGCTCTGAGCAGCATGGCCCTGGTTCAGATCCCACATGAGGGCCAGTGATGCTGAGCCCTCTACAGCTAAGATGGTGAACAACAGCTCAACCTGGCGCTGGTCTGTTGTGAGTCGCCGATGACGGTGGAGGCTGCAGCCCCCGCTGCAGTGGGCTGCCGTGAGCTATCAGAGTGACTGGCAGCCCGTGTGAGCTGCTGTGAGCCGCTGTGAGCAGCCGTCCAATGGCCAGCGAGTGATCTGCCTCACCCGGGAAGAGCGCAATGATAATACCAACATGGGCCAGTGAAGCGAAGTCCTTCACAACTAGACTGAAGAACGAAAGTACAGCAACTTATCTGTTCCCCTTCCCCGATTCTCTAATGCTGTTCCCCTCCCCCAACTCCCCAATAAAATCTTTTTTTTTTAAAAAAAGAAAGAATATCTGAAATGCAGAGGACACAATGTCAGAGTAATAATATAATGGTAGGTGCTGACATTATGGCCGCCAGGGCAGGGGAGAAGAGGAGCCATCGACAAATCCAGAAATGTGCCTAAGGATAGAAGCTGTATTTGAATGTCTGGACAGAGACAGGCAACAAGGTCTTGGGGCAAAGTGGGGAAATGGAATGGAGGCCCTTGCATTAAAGCGGAATCCTCAAAGAACTGCACCTCAGTGAGAAGGGCTCCACCCTTTTCAATAAAAGCTCCACCCACCGTTCCGGACAGTGGCAAGAAAACTTGCTGCCACTCTCGCTCTCGGTGGGTAGAAAATAGTCCCATCAGAAAGCAAACCCCCAGGTCTGTGCCTCATGTGGGGTTTAGAGCTTGAGTTGACACTGCACATGTTGCAAAATTCTGAAACTGAGAATTTAGCATGATCTCAGGGGCTGTTGCAGAACAAAGGGCAAAAGTGCTTCTTCTAGAGAACACATACAGCCACAACCCTGTAAAGTCTCCCATTAAAAATCAATGTTTAAAAAAAGATCAACTCACAATTAAAAAAAAAAAAACTAAACACACCAAAACATTTACCATGAGAGTCAGGAGGGAAAAAAGTTCACTCCACAATGCAGACCGCCTGAGGCTGCTGTGGTGGGAATAGAGAAACATGTGGAAAATAAGCTCACAATCAAAATTCACAAAACACAAGGAAACAATCCACCGTGAGAGTCAACATAACTTGTGATAATATAACAATCTGAAAGAGACTTTAAAAGGTCCTTTGGCTGCAGTTTGGCAGGTGGTTAAAGGTGGAGGGTGGAGGCTAGGAGACCTGGTAAGAGGCTGCTGCTCTGGTCTAGATGAGAGACGGAGGTGGCAGGTTAGCACAGAGGCAATGGGAGTGGATAGAATTTAAGAGCATACTACATTTTGTAGATGAGAAATCTGAGGCCCAAAATGTAAAGTGATTTCTGCAAGATCAAAGCAGAAATGGAACTGGAACTCAGATATCCTGAGTTTATGTTCATGTTCTTTATACCACAGAATATCTGTCCCCGGAGTAGAGCACCTGCAGGTAGAGAAAATATTTTTCATATCCCACAGGGACCAGCATTTGTGATAACAGTGGAGGCGGAAAGCATGAGACGGTGGGAGCACTTTTTCTCCCTACCCAGGCTCAGCCAACACTTTGAATAGTGGAGGTAAGAACCTGTCTGATCTCTGACACTTTTGTGATGCGGACTATCTACGACCGCTTACCTGCTGCTCCAGCTCTTTCCTAGACGTCAACTCCGAGTCCAACCTCTCCTCAACTTGCTGTAGACGCTTTCTGAGAAACTCATTCTCCATCTGGGCACAGTCAAAGCGCATCTGCCACTCATCTGCTGTTTAACAAAGTTAGAGAGACCAGGATGGAAGGCTAGGTGAGCAGGGGTGGTTCTCCTCCACTTACTTAGCTCTTTGTCCACAATTTCACAATATTCATAGAGTTCCTGAGGCTTGACCTTAGACTTCAGGTTAGGAAATCCTGCTTTAAGTCCAAACTTAGTAATTAAAAAAAAAACACTTCCTCCAGGCAGCCTGTCCTGACTACCTCCAGTTGTCTGAAGTTATTGACTGCTCACTGTTCTAAGCTCAGTTGTTTTATACCACTCAACTTCTCCACAAGTATACACATAACCTTCTTTTTCAAAAACAAAAATTCCTTGAGGGCAGGGGAGATGTTTTAGTCATTTGTGGATCCTCAATACCCTCTAGAAGAGTTCCCTACACACAGAAGTTTCCCCATGTTGATACAAATGCACCAACTGGAATCATCCTACTGGCCAACTACAGAATATTAATCAGTGACTGTTGGTTGAATTAATTAACAAATCAATGAGTAATAAAGTGTCCACTGAATGTATAGCAAGAGAGACACTGATCACAAGATGTGTCTATGAGATAACAGAACAATCCCTTGATTTGGTAAAGATCTAAAAAAAATCATTTACTGGTTGATGAAAACTGGCTGAATGGAATAGGTTAGACCAGACTATGATTTCTCTTCTTTTTTTTTTAACCATCTGAATAATAACATCCCATACACTAATAGACCCATGAAAAACATTCTATACGTGAACAGCTTAAAATAGACACCATTCAAACTTAACCCATCTCTCCATCCATCCATTCCTCCATTTCTCCATCCATTCCTCCATCCATCCATCCATCCATCCATCATCATCCAGCCATCATCCATTCTTCCATCTACCTTCCATCCATCTGAACACTTCTTGAGCACACTACTGCATATCAGGCACAAGGGATAATGAATAAGAAAACATTCTACCTCCAGGAAAATCTAGTGGGGGAGATAAACCTGTAAAATGGCAGCTAAAGCCAAGCATGACGGGGGGCTCTCAGAAGGGAAGCTTATGGAAATCCAGAAAAGGACTCAAACTCATAGGGCAGCAAACATATTTTTGTGCATCACTGTGTCCCCAAGACTTATTACAATGCCTAGCATATCATAAATGCTCCATAACTTGCATTGGATAGGTGGATGGGTGGATGGGTGGATTGATAAATTGATAGATAAATGGATGGTAGGGCAGATGGAGAGACAGGTAGATGGGTGGATGGATGGATGGATGGATGGATGGATGGATGGATGGATGGATGGATGGATGGATGATGGATAGATGGATGGTAGGACTGAGGTCTTGGGGGAGATGACCCCACTAGGAGTTCCCACAAAACTAACCCAAACAAAAAATGACATAATTGTAAGGAGTGAGAGTCTGTTCAAGTTTCCACCAAGGTAAATAATATCATGGTGGGAAATGAATCCTATCTCCTCACTGGGAAAAAAAATCGCAAGTAGCAAACAGCATAGCCTGCAAAAGGAAGAGGAAGCAGAAAGCATCTGTGTGGCTTTACCATGTCCTCTGTGCTATGATGTGCTACAGAGTTAAGTGGTATGAGTGGATAACATGAGCAGATGAGGAAACCTCTCCACTCTTCAAGGCTGATTTCCACCTCTAACCTCCCTCCCCGCGGGTGCCATTCTTAATCAGTATGTACAACTCACCCAATCACATTTTCTCTGGGTTTATCTGCCCTCCCCAGTTATATTGCAAGTGTCTTGAGAGCAGGCCCCAACTAAAATTCTCCTTTAACCCCCACATGGTCCAGCTCAGTGCTGGATGCATACCATAAAAGGTTCTCTTTAAACACTTAACCATGCGTAGTGCAAAACCACAGATATTTTAAATAATTTATGTTCCAGTTTGATCCATGGTAGAGGTTTTAGGTGGCATTGCAGTGGTGTGATTAAAGTGTTTTATTGCTTCTTCCCACTTTCTCATAGTTTAGGAAATTTCTATAATGAGTATGTATTACTTTCATAATGAAACACAAAATATTTGTGGGTTGGCTTCCTGGAAATGAGCACCCAAAATTGAGAGCCCATATAGTGTTGTGACGAATGTGCTCCCGAGCTATGCACATCACCCCTTTCCTTCAACTCCCGTATCTTCCTACAGGAAAACAAACTAGAAAGCATCATGTAGACATAAGTCGCAGTCAGGATGGGGCTGGAGCCCAAGATCCTCTGGGGAAAATGCGCTGTCCCCACTGCTGGTTCTATGAAAATATCTTTCCCACTCCCCTGCATGTACCCTAACTTGTTGGGTCTCCCGTATCAGAGAATCTCAGACTCCTCCATGTTAACCTTCCAGGTAAATGCCTGCCCTGGGGGTAGCCAGGAGGAGAGGAGAACAAGAGTGGAGTGGAAAGCAAATGTGCCTTGCCTCTTTCCACTGCCTCCAGACCTCCGTTCCTCGGAGTGTCCCTGACATTTCTAGGCCATACATTCTCGGGGGTCACCGAAGGAACGATGTCAACATTTTATAAAAGCTGACAGGAACACTGGGCATCCTTTTGCCTAACTCATTTAGACTGGGGACAGGAGTTGACAAAGATGTCACCATGCCCATCCAACCATGGTATGTAAGTCTCCAGGCAACTGTAGATGGGCACCTACAGAAAGCCCCAGCTCTACTGAGCGCATGTATCCTTAGGCAGTTCAGGGGCCCTCTCACCTTCTCCCCAGTTATTCAATAACTGCTGAGTGCCTGACACTGCTTTTAAATGGGAATAGTAGTTTCTGCTCCTGGGGTTATAAGCTCGGATAAGGATGCCACTCTTAGCAGTAGCAGTAATAATGACGAAGTAACCAACAGCTACCCAGCACTCTGAGCCATGCACACAGCTAAACACCTTCTATTAATCATCTATGACAGCATCCATTTGAAAGATGGAGAAACCAAGGCCCAGTTTCCATGCCCCAAACCACTCATCTAATAAGAGACAGATTCTAGATCTGAACCAAGAATTGCAATTTTATAGATTCCTCTTTTAACCATTAAACTGCCTTCCTCAACATTTACATTGAAACTATTCCTATAAATATGAAGGTGTCTTCCCCATAGAGTCCCTATGTTTTGGATCATTCTTTGCATTCTTACTAAACAGCACCTGTCACAGTGATCATTTGTCATTTGGGATATTGTGGAATTATCTGTTGAATTATCTAATTATTTGCCCATTCCTCTAGAAGACGAGGACTGTGCCTGTGTGCTCTGCCCCTAAGGTAGTGTCTGGTGCAAAGTACGTGCTCCGTGTGTATGAATGAATGCATGAATGGATACATGGATGAAAGAATGAAATAAAAGGTCAGCTCTTGCCACCAGCATGTAATCTCAAGCGTTCCAATCTGCTCACCTCCTCCGGTGTGACTCTTTTCCAACTCATTCAAGTGAACTTTCTGCTGGGCTTCTTCCAGCTGCTTCTCTACTTCTCCCAAATTCTTCTGGACTTGTTCATGCTTGCTCTGGAAGAAAGGCCTCGAGGTTTTGAACTGCAGCTAGGTAGAAGCCCAGGCTGGCCATCTCACCCACGGCGTCTCCCAGCCCAGGCTGGCCACACCCAGGGCACCTCCATGGCCAAGCCTGAGCAAGACCCAAACGTCCTCCAGGACCTTGAGCATGGGAGTCAATCAGCCAAGGCATCTTGCTGAGACTTAGCAATCCCAGATGTGAGTGCAGGGGGGCAGGCTCCACCCCTCCCAGACACCCTGTTCATCCACCCCTACCCCCCTACCCCCTGCCACCCTGGATCACTCACCTGCAGCTCCTGGACCTCCCGGAAGAGCCGCAGCCGCTCTGCCCGCTCATTTTCCAGCACCTGGCAGGCCACGTCCCCTTTGAAGCGTTCATCGGCAAGCTCTGTGGTCAAGTCAGCAAACTGGGGTGGGGAAGGTTAAAAGCAGTGTCACGTGTTGGGGCCACCAACCCTTCCCCCACACACATATGCCAGAGACCACCCTTGCACAAATCACAGCTCTCATGGCCAGGCAGCCCTTCAATGTAATGACGTGGTGAAGAGCAAGGACATCAGAATTTTATGGGTCTTGGTGTGTTCAAGTTCTTGGCCCAACACTCACCAGCTGTGTGACTTTGAACCAGGTGGGATGCCTACCTATGTGCTTCTCAGGTTTCTCAGCTTTAGAGGTCAGGGGATCACTTACAGAAGTGTTTTGAGAATTAAGTGAGATAATACACATAAAGCTTAGTACAGTGCCTGGTACATAGTAAGTGCTCAATTAAAAAAAAGTTATTCTAGTAGAAACCCAGCTTAGCCATCCTTCAGTGAGCTATCTCTCTGGACCAACCAATAAGCTCCCTTGTAAGGCACGCTCACAGATGCCAGCCACATAGGGATGCTCCAGCCAGGAAACCTCTATGGTTTCCCATAGTCCATCTGCCTCTACCAAGTGATAGACATGCACGCTGTACATCAATTGTGTGTGTGTGTCCCTCCCCCCATTTATACCTGTTGCATTTTTACCATAATTACCTATTCAATGAGCTATTCCATAAACCTATAAAATATGAACCAAGGTTTGCCATGAAAACTAGGTTGAATGCTTTGGAAGGAATAAAAAAAAGTGAGTTGCTTTTTAAAATTCTTTCAAATAAGTATAGGTGTGAAATGATAAAAACCTAGAAGTAAAAAATTAGGTTTTGGGGCCGGCCAAGTGGCTCAGTTAGTTAAGAGCACGAGCTCTGAGCAACAGGGTCACCGGCTCCATTCCCACATGGGCCAGTGAGCTGCGCCTGAGCTAAGCTGCCGCTGAGCTCCCAACAGGTGGCAGGATGGCTCAGCTGGTGACAACACGTGCTCTTAACAACAAGGTTCCCGGTTCGACTCCCGCATGGGATAGTGGGCTATGCCACCCCCCCCCCCCTCACCTGGATGGTGACTGGACTGGGAGCTGAGCTAGCTGCGCCCTCCACAACTAAGACTGAAGGACAACAACTTGGCTGTTCCCCTTCCCTATTCCCCAACACTGTTTCCCTTCCCCAAATCCCCAATAAAATCCTGAAAGAATTAGGTTTTGGCATTCCAATTACTTTGCCATTTGCTCTGCTTTAAAGAAATCAAAACCGGAAACCATACAGTCACGTATTAGGGGCGTGGTTTAAGGAAAGAAGTAGGTCTTGGGTCAGATGCTCATCCTCAAAAGGCTTTGGTCCTACATCAGGGCGTTAAGGTAGACATGTTTAAAGGTAAAAATAAAAATGTTTATTTTTTAATGAATTCCCACTTGCCCTGACTTCCCTCCCCCCTTGCCCCAATTAACTGACCAACTACAGATGCCAAAGGGGTCAGGGTTTCTGTGGTATTACTGCTCCAAAATGCAGCTTTCCAAGTTCAAGGATATGCTAAAGCAAGTGAGGAGAGAAACATATGAGTGGACGGTTTATGATCAAGAGGCTCAAAAACAACCTCGTACAGAAGAAGGGTCACTCATGAAACTGAGGCTACCTCTTTTGCGAGGCAGGGCATAAAGTCAAGAGGCAGAGAGCAAAAAAAAAAAAAATAGAGGCAAGGTTTAGGGTTCCAGTTCAGACACAAAAACTAACATAATTGTGTGACCTTGGACAAGTCTCTTCCTCTCTGGGGCTTTGGTCACTTGCGTTGTGAAATGCGTTGAATTAGATGATGCCTGTTGTTTTCCTTTCATTCCAATTCTACACCATAAATGTGCATGAAGATGTCAAAATACCTCACTCTCCCGTCAGACCCTTGGCATCGCACTGAGGGGCGACTGTGCAGTGTTATCACACAGATGCTAAGTGGCCCTGCCGGGGCGGGACCCAGAGGTCCTGCCCAGCTAGTCCCCATCAATACCGTCTCAAAATTCATTCAGCTGCTCTGTGAAGAAGAAGGATGCGGACCTATACGTTCCGACATGAAAAAATCCCCAAGACATATGAGGTCTGACAATTAAGTTCGCGAACTTGTTGCAACGATGTTGCTAACATTTTTTTGACATCAGAGGGATTAGTCATTATGAATTTGTACCAACTGGACAAACAGTTAACAAGTTGACTATTTGGAAGTGCTGAAAAGGCTGCGTGAAAAAGTTAGACGACCTGAACTTTTTGCCAACAATTCATGGCTCTTGCACCATGACAATGCACCAGCTCACACGGCACTGTCTGTGAGGGAGTTTTAGCCAATAAACAAATAACTGTATTGGAACACCCTCCCTTCTCACCTAATCTGGCCCCTAATGACTTCTTTCTTTGCCTGAAAATAAAAGAAATATTGCTTTGTAGGGTGGACTAGGTGCTGGCATCAGTGCCTAGCTTCCCAAGGGGAGTACTTCAAAGGCGACCATAGTGATCTTCAGCAATGAAGTATGTAGCACTTTGTCTAGAATGAATTCACGAACTTAATTGTCAGAACTTATAGTGCCAAAGAGGAAAAGAGCAAAGTTGCAGAACAGAATTTTGGCTTGTTCCCATTTTTGTTTGTGCTTGCACAGAAAAAGTCACTCCCAAACTCTTCATAGGTTTTTTTTTTCCTCCCCCCACCCAGAGGAGAGGGTCACAGGAGAATCCAATTTTCTTGTAATGCATTTCTGTACTGCTGATTTTTAAAACCCCTTTTGTAATCAGGAAAACACAAAACAGTATCTTTTTAAAACATTCCAAAAAATAGTAATTGAGCTACAAAGCCCGGGGCTGCTCTGGCCCTTCCATGCCCACTGCCGGTTTTCCTCTTTTAGCCCATCCTCTTCCCATCATGTTGATCCAATGACTGCTCAGACCACAATGCAGATTCCAATAGAAACAAAGAAAAAAAGGAGGCTTAAGGGGAATGTTCTGAAGTCACTACAGCAAGTAAGTGGCAGAGGTGGAACTTGAACCCAGATCTGTCAGCTCTCAGTAATGACCAGAGTGAATGGAGGCGGGCTCTCCCAGGGTGCTCCTGGCTGTCTGTGGGGTAGGGCTTCCTTTTGCTGTTCCTGACATTGTTGTCTTTAAAGTGTCCTGAAGGAACACTTACATTGCTGTGAGCTGGGATAGTTGTTAAAATGCAAAATCCAGGATTCTTATAGCCCCCAAGCCAAAATCTCTTCGGTGGGACCAAGCGATCTGAATTTCGACAACACTCCAGGGTGATTCTGAAGCACAACAAAGTTTAAGAATTCCTGCCGTAGAATTGCTCGGATCTGCTCCTCATCTTGGCCTCACACTTGGCTTTACATGGGTTAGATGTGCTCATGGGCCCACAGATACACTGGAGCTCGAGAAGGGGTCATTTGCAATGGGCACCAGATAGAGGCTGGAGTAGCCCCGGAATGCCCCAGACCATGCTCCTAAGCCCGCTCCCCATCTCTGAGATCCGCATTGATCGCAAACACCAGGCCTCTGTTCTCTCCGCCTTAGCCAATTAGTGTGAAATTTAATTTGTGCTAATCGGCCTGAGCAAAGGGAGCACAAAATTAATTTACTGCATTAATTTTGAGTTCCACAGAACCCAAGTCTGGAGTCCAAAGGACAATGAGCCTTTTCAAATTGGGGAAATGACGGGTGTTTTTCACAGAGGCCAGTGGCCCCTGACCTTTCCCTGTTCCCACAAATCCCTCTCTCTTCCCACATGTAGGGGCCCAAGGACTCTGTTTATAGAGGTGAGGGGTGGGCCCCATGCCCAGAGCTACGAGGTGAATGGAAATGAAAACCAATTTAATAAGGAGGAGAACCTGGCCTGCAAACCCCGAAGGGTCCTGACTCAAGGACCAATTAACTAGAAATGATGCTGAAACCTCCTGTGAATCTACCTCTTGGCCAAATCATCAGAAACCCTCTTTCTACTTAGGGACAATGACTCCAGGGTCTGTCAGAGAGAAGGGACAAGAATGAATCAACTTGCTGTACATTGTGAGTCAAGTCAAACACATGATATGTCCTGCGCGCTGGCATCATTCGTCGTTTGGAGGAACAGTGGGTACTGGGGATTGGATGGACATTAAATACAGAGAACGTGGGGTTTAGAACTGCCACTGTCACTAGTCATTCATTATGTGAGCACCTACTGTGTGCCAGACCCTGCCCTTAAGGACCTCACTGTCGAGTTGGGGAGATGAGAAAACCACACGTGGGGCACCCATGTCTTGGCCCAACCCTGTCCGTGGCTCTTATACTCAAGGAATCTCAAAACTCCCCAAACCATCTTTCCTGCAAAGAACAAACCATGTCTTTTCACTCTCCTCTACTTTTCAATTTAACAACAACAACAACAAAAGATCTGTTCATTATAAGCCCTGGTATGAGAAATGGCTCACACACTCATCGAACGCCGGGGATAGACATGTGTTAAGCTCTTGGCATATGCCATCTTCTTTAAACTCATCAAATGCTTTATGAGGGGGGGTATTTTTGTTATTTCCTTTTCATAGAATGAAAAACTGAAGCACTGGGAGGTGAAGCAATTTGCTCAAATCATAGCTGAGAAGTCGCAGAGGGCGTGTAGCCCGGGCAGCCTGAGTGCCCAGTTCGGGCGCATACCTACAGCACTGCCCTCTGCCTCACAGCCACTACTATCCAGCGCAATCCCGCACCCCCAAGCCTCCAGGGCTCAACAGAGCAGGAGTCGTCAGCCACCAGGAGCAGACCAGGAAGCAGTGGCTCGGGAAGGTCAAGTTAAACAGCCAGCGGGGTACAGACCAAAGGCCAGAGAAGACCTGGACCCTGATCACCCCTGCAGGGCCGTGGCCAAAGGGGACCCACGTGGACCCCCAGCCAAAGGGAAGCCCCATCCCCATCAACCTGAGGAACTAAAAGAGAAAACGGGGGAAAAAATTAGTGGAAAAAAATGGAGAAGAGAAAATGAACCAATACGTGAAGGGCCGACGTAACTGCAGTCAGCTGGCGGGTTGCGGTTTATTTGTC